GATATAGTTAGATTTAAATGAAAATAGTTGGTAGAGAGAAGCAATAAATGTTGCTCAATGGAGAAATATTTTTTAGATTAAATTTTAAATTGACAAAAACATGGGGGGCATGTGATATCTTAATAAATATTTCTGTAGTGGAGTGTTTAAATAAGGTTGAATATATCTGTCTCCATAGTTACTATTTCTTTATTGTGGAAACATTCAGACTTTTTTCTTCAACTTTTTGAAGTCCACAGTACATTATCGTCATCTCTAGCTATCCGTCTGTGCAGCGGCGTGTCAGACTCCTAACTATAATGTAGTGCCTTTGACCAACATTTCCTGTCTCTCACTGTCTTCTGCTCTCTCCTCTGGTAACCACAATTCTTCCCTGGATTTCTAGGAGATCTACTTTTCTAGGTTCCACATATGAGTGAGATAATGTGGGTTGTATTGATTCTGTAGAACACTTTGGGCAGTATGGACATTTTAACAATATTCTCCTAATTTATGAATACGAGGTGTCCTTTTATATCCTCTTATAATTCCTTTCATCAATGTTTTGTTATTTTCATTCTAGAGACCTTTTGCCACTGCTTAAATGTATTCCATTTTTTCGTAGCTGTTTTCAGTACTGACTAGCGATATAGATTGGGGAGTCAGTTGCTGTGTAATTGAAAACAAACGTGAAATTTCCAAGAAAACAGTTTTGGTTAGGAAAAGAAGTGGGCCTAGAATCCAGCCTCAAGAGCCACAGTAGTATAGCCAGATAGAAAACAGTGAGTCAGTGCAAAAAAATGAGATTTGTAAGATTGTTGAAGACAAGGGAAGAAATTTTTTTATGGAGGAATTGGTCAGTAATGACTGAAAATGTTCTTGCACAATTGTGTGGCTAGTCTTTAGCAAAACTCATTTCAGTGAAATGATGGGAGGGAAGCCATGTTGCAGTAGGTTGAAGAATAGAGAGGAAGTTGATACTAATTTGTAAAAATTTGTGTGAAACTGCGTTGTTTCAGGGATTAATGGCAAGACGGAGTTGGTACTTGTTCAGTGCAGATGCAGTCTTTCTCCACTATTTTCCATTATCCACCTTTTGTTAGTTGAATACACATATGCAGAAACTACTGATATGGAGAGCCAACTGTATTTGATTCAAGATAGAATTGCTTATGATTTAAATATTTTTCCTTTTCCAGTTTTTTAAAATATGTATTTTATAATAGATAATAAGAGAATATGAATTATTTATCAGAGTCTAGTAAAGAGATGGAATTCATCCAGTTTTGAACAGAAAGAATTTAACATAATGAATTACTAACTAAGCATAAAATTGTTAATTAGCTAAATGGTAGATTAAAAAGAATACTCTGAAGGTATCACAGTCGTGGCTCTTACAGAAAGCAACCAGGGCTGAAGGAAGAAGTTTTAATTGAAATTTAGAAAGTTAAAGAGGAAGGGTCATGCAGAGGTGCCATTTGACCACTAATGAGGACGACCTGGCCAGTTAATGCGGCTTCTGATTTCTTTGTAGTTAAAGAGTTGAGGGTGCAGAAGCTGGTTGCTTTTGTATGTGTTGAGAAAACACATGTTGGAATTTAGCCGCTGCTGCAGAAAGGAACTGCTGTTTGTGCTGACAAGAAAGGCTGAAAGGCAGGCTACAGTGGAGTCTTTGGTGTCCCTGCCCACTTTTGCTGGGTATACTGAGAAATAAGTCCCTTGCTGCTTTGTAGTCAAGTCATCATGGTTGTGCTCACTGGATCAAGTGATATCTTACACACATAGGCTTGTTTTTGCTTATTATAAAAGAGATTTTTGTGTAACAGAATGCACGGTGTATTCAGGCATCTATCGTAGGTCCTGTGCATAGTTCCTGTAAGATTGGGTTGTAGGTCTGGCGATTGCAATGGATGCAAATGAACTTTGGCTGCTACTTTGCTGTGACTAATGATTCCTTTTATCTCTCACCTAAACTAGTGTCTTCTGTCAACCTTCATGAAACTGTGGTAGTATGTATGAATGCGTTTACTTTTCTTTGTGCTAATGCTTAGTTTTGCAGTGACTCTTAGTTGGACCTTAGAAACAGCTGTCTAATCATTAAGATTGCTTCTGTTTATGATGATGATGAAAAATTCATCTTGAATATAATATGGAGAGTAAAAGAAGGGAAATAAAGAATTGAAAGAGAGAGAAAATATGTGGAGAGGGTTCAAACAATACTTATTAGTAATGCCAGATGAGTTTAATGGAGTAAATTATAATCAATATTTGAAAGGATATTGGGAATGAATGAGAAATATTAAAAAACTACCAAAGAAGAAAGGCGTCTGTTACTTACAAAAAAGTAACATCTGACAGCAGAGTTCTCGATAGTAGTAGATGCCAGAAAACATTAGGGTAATAGCTTTAAACCGAGAGAAAATAGCTTTCAACCCAGGATTTTGTATTAGCCAAACTGTCATTCAGGAGGGAAGATATAAGATACAATATAAATAGATATATACACTAATAAAATATTTTGAGGAATTTAATGCTGAGTATAAAAAATTAATGTTTGATAATGCAAATTGTAAGAATATATTCCACATGCATTTGTATGTGTGTGGGTGATTTAAGACTGTGGACTTGGGGTGGAGGGTTAGGTCAGTGGCAGAGCACTTGTCTAGCAAGTATAAGAAAATAAGCAAAGAAGAATGATAATGGAGTATTTTTTTTCAAGTATCAGATTTTAGGAATCAAAAGTTTGGTAAAAGGTACCTAAAGATAACCACTCCTAAATTGCTGGGGAAGGACAAATTATCAGTAATTTATTGAAAGTATGTATGTACTGGTACAAATGTACGAACTGGTTGATAGAACATTTTCACTCTGGAATTACCACGTTGTAGCATATCTAAAATAGCCACACAGTATAGAAACAAATTAAATATCCATCATTAAATATATTACAATGCATCTATACAATGGAAATTCTGCAGCCCCCCTGAAGAGAAGGAAGTGATTTAGAAAGATTTCTATGATATAATAAGTGAAAAAAAGAAGTTCAAGATGAAATATCTCTTATTTTGTGTTAGGGAGAAAATGTATAGTATTCTGTTAAGAGGTGTGTTAGAGATTGTGTGTGTGTGTGTGTGTGTGTGTGTGTGTGTGTGTAAAAACTGTAACAGAATATCTTTCTGGAAGGGCTCCAAAATGAGTTGATAAGAAATAGCTAGGAACCATGTATTCTATGAGACTGGTTTAGAACAAGATATTTACTAGATACTTAAGAACCAAAATATTTACTGGATATTTAAGAAGCTCCTAGCTAGTTGCATTGTAGAAGGAACTGTGTAGTTGAGGGACAGAATTGGATTTTTTTAAAATTTTGATATTTTTTGGACTTTGCATTGTTTGCCTACATTGTATACTAAAAACTAATTTGTTTTATATTTACTTTTGTCTCTTGAAATTGCTACTGAAAATAGGGAATGTAAATCTGTCTTTATTAAAGTTTACATATTTATAATAAATCAAGATCATTGTAGTATGTAAGGGAACTTCCTTCAAGGACATTTGAGTGTTTTATTTTTTTAACTTTATACTATAATTGGCTACTGTACATCTTGACTGTTATTAATTATCCAAGGTAGTTGAAAATTAGGCAGCATGCTCTTGGCCAATTCTGGATGTGAAATGAAAATGCCTTCTATTTTGAAATAGCTTATATTTTGGTCATTTTATCATTTAAATATTTTATATTTAGAAAATATGTGATGCAAATATGTGATTAATATTAGTTCTTAGAGAAATATTGGTCCCTTTGCTCTCATAGTAAACAGAGAAAACACTATTTACTATGTAATGTAACTTGTCTTTATGGACCTTTAAAGTAATACAAAGAGGATTGAACTTACATCTCCTTTTCTGAATTAATCAGATAACTAAGAATTAATACAATTTTTAGCTTAACTTGTTTTTCTTTGGGGTTCTTAATGTAAAAGTATATATTGAAAGAAATGATGAGTTATAGATTTATAAATATATCTAATTACAGATCTTTAAAGGAGTTTTTGCCTCATTTAACAGTCTTGCAAGATATCTTAATGTCACATTTCTTTGGCTACTTCTACATATTCTTCTCTAATATTTTCTACCCCTGCTTTTGGGGTGCTTTGTTTAATACAATCTCAACTCAAACTTTGATGCATTCCAGCCTGTTAACTACTTATTATTTGAAAATTTTGATATTTTGTCAGAAATATTTTGCTGCAGTGACAAAGTGGAATCTTAAATAAATAATTGATTAATTTGGAATCCATTTGAGGAGGATAGGCCTAGGACAGCATGTCACTTTTCCTAGTAGAATGTTCTGACTCAATCTCATTTTGGAGTCTAAATCAGTCGTCTTCAAAGTAGAGTTTAATCCCTGCCTATTGGGATATCATAAGCTTAGTAGAAATTTTACTGTCTGCATCTTAATAATTCGTGAGTTTGGAAATCACTGATATTTCCAGTTTATTGTTTTGGGTACCAAAAAAGCAATAGAGAGGGACCTAAGAATAAAACATTGGTAACTCTGAAAGTAAGCTTGAGCTGTGAACTCAACTATTTTCTCTTTTATAATGTAGTTAGACCTTAACAGAAAATGTTGTGTTGTAAACATGTTTACAGTAATCCAACGGCATTTCGCCCAGTTGGGTTACATCTTTTATTTTAATGTTAAACTAAGCTTGACTATCTTGAATGAAAATTCTGTAGCCTAATGTTTGTTTTTGCCTGCTGAAAATACAGATGACATTAACATCAAAACCATGTCTTTTCTTTTCAATTAATTGTAATTTCAGGATTTTGCTTATTGGAGTTTTTTCTCAGGATCCAATTTGCAAAGATTTTCTCTAGTTACTGTGTGCTCTGTGGTAGCAATTAAATGTCCTCGCTCCCCTGCCTCCATGCATCTAGTACATAGTGTGAGATACAGCAGTAAGCAAAGACCATTGATGGCTAAAATTTATTGGCATTCTTTTTTTTTTTAATCTCAGATATTCAAGATTAAAGCAGTACAATTGGCTGAGAAACTCCTTCCTGCCTTTAATACACCTACAGGGATTCCCTGGGCAATGGTGAATCTGAAAAGGTAAACCCTGTTTTTTGTGATTGTTTTTATTCTGGAAGAGTTAACTGATTTTAAAAAAACCTTTTTAGTCTTAGAAATTTCTAAGGATCTGCCCCATCATACTTTTCAAAATTACATTGTGTTTCTCTTCATATGTATGTACTAGTATGTTGATTTAAAACATTTTCTAATTAAAAAAAAATAAGTCCTTTACTTTGAAACAGGTCACCTCCTCTAACTTAGTTACAGTTTTTACTACTTGTTACTCTTAGGTATAGATTTCTCTTCTACACAAGGGTATGGTCATACAATGTTTTATTTGCTTATTAACTTCCCCTTAAAGCTATAATAGATTTATAGTACTTTCCTTTTCTTTCTATTTTTGTATATTACTTGCTGATCTGTAAGTCAAGATGGAAAACAAGTCATAATTCATGATATTGTTTTATAGTATCTATACTCTCAAAGTCAAAACGAGCTCTTAAATTCATTCTTTTCAGTGTGTTTCATTCTAAAAAAAATCATAATTTTTTACTTAGAAGTACACAGATGACATGTTTTCTTTGTTTAACTTTGTAAATCATTGAAAGATAAAAAATTTAAGTTTGCATGATGTCAACATTTTAACTTGCATTTGACCAATTTATGTTGACTGGAACTCTGGTACTTAATTTTTTCCAAGTAATATCTCTTTTTGTGTTACAGTTTGTAAATTATGTGAAAATTTGACTTGTTTTCCTTGCACTTAGACTCTCTTAAGTTAGGAGCATTTATATTTCTGGAGATGTTAATCAGTGACAACTTCATTTGAAAAAATAATCTGTTTTCGTCATTCCTAATGAAGAACTTGGAGTTTAGGTTTACATTGAGAAATCAGCATTTAATTCTGAACGATAACCCTAACTTTACTGCTCTCTGATCTCATGCACTACATAAACACATTCCCTCCTGTGTGAGGAAAAGGCTGAAGTCCTGAGTGGTCTCCATAAAGGGCACGGCCAAGTGATGTGGGGCACGCACTTGCTCTCAGTTCATGGCAAATTTCAGGTGTTGCCTCTGGGACCGTAGACACCACACACTACCCCCAACCCAAACTGTGGTGAGGCTTGTCCTCCAGCTACCCACACTCCTTTCCTTGTTTTGTTTAATAAGTCTGCCTGTGCCTCTTACTGAAGTGTCCTGAAATGCTTTATGTGATGATGCAAGAACCTACTTTGTGTCTGTGTGTTGGGGGAATGAGTTGAGGTCCTCATCTCTTTGGGGTACCATCACTTCAGTTGGGAGAAACTTAGCATTTCTACACTGCTGGTTTGTGTTAGAATGGGTTCCTACAGTTTTCTTCTGTTGAAAAGTCTATTTTGCATTCATAAAGGATATTTTTAATATCTATGAAATTCTGAGTTAACATATGCATATTTGTTTTCTTGCACTTTAAAGCTCACTTTAGCCTCTGTTATTTCTTGGTAGGTGAGATTTTAATTGTTATTTTCATACTATTTATTGCCCCCCCCTTTTTTTTGAGACAGGGTCTCACTATGTAGTTGAGACTGACCTGGAACTCACTATGTAGCCCAGGCTGGTCTTGAACTCACAGCGATCCTCCTGCCTCAGCCTCCCAAGCGCTGGGATTACAGGTGTGCGCCACCACTCTGGGCTCTGCTGTTTTGCCCGTAATATTTATTTTTTACCAGGATTTGTTTTAACTACGATGTGTTCATAACAGTTTTTTTCCTACTTTATTTTTAATTTTATTTTCTAAAATTCTTATTACAGTGCTTACATTTTAGAACTTTTTATTACTGTCCTATAGGTCCGCAAAGCTCTTCTTTTAATTTGTCAATCCTTTTTTTCCTCTTCTTCAAATATTATAATTTTCACTAATCTGTCTTCAAGTTCACACTCTTTCCTGTTTTTCTACTCTGCTTTTAAGCCTATGCCATTATGTTTTTAGAATTTTATTTGGTCCGTTGTCATTCTGATTATATGCTGAGATTACATTTGTAACCTTTTGTTGTGAAGTATTTTCCTTTATTTCTTGGAATTTAGAACAGATTATTTAAATTTCTTGTAATTCTATATTGGGTCATCCTTTGAGGCTGGCTGGGACACATTTTGAATGTATATGGATTTGTGAAAGTTAAGCTGTGGAGACAGCCTTCTGTTGTATTTTTCTGAATCCCTTTCTCCCCCAGATAGTCAACAAAACTTTGGTTTCTGTCACAATTTATTTCTTTAACTGGATTGCTTCAAGTGTGTGTTTATGCATTTGTGATTTAGAGAACAGACAGAAACTTAAGCAGAACTTAGACGCAATTAAAGGCACCCCTTCTCTGGCTCTTTTCATCCAGGATTCTTTTATGTTCTTTCATTGCTGCAATCACTAGCTAGAATTTTTCATGCATGTTGAGTTTAAACATAAGGCATCATGAACAAACTTAAAAAGAAATAACAAACTAGGAAAAATTTTAGTATCAATAGTGATATTTATATAAGAATATCATTCTTAATATATAAAAAGCTTTTACCAACTGTTAATAAAAATACCCATCAGTTTAGAAAGTTGCTAAATACATGAATAGGTAATTGAAAAAAAGGATATACAAGTAAAAGATAAATACAAAAACTTTGTCCACTTTTTCCACTCTAGTAATAAAAATTATAATTAAAAAATTCATTTTTAGGGCTGGGGATTTAGCTCAGCGGTTTGGTGGCCTGCCTTGCAAGTGGAAGACCTGAGTTCAATCCCTGGTACCAAAAAGACAAAAACAAAAACAAAACAAAACAAAACAAAATTCATTTTTTATTGAGCAATTTGACAAAAAGAGCAATGATATTATTTAAGATTGGCATGAATAAAGAAATAAAAGCTTATATAGAATTTGAAATTGAGTAATTTGGAAGGCAGATTGGCAGTAGGTTTCAGAAATCTTGATATATGTCTGCCTGTTGACTTTGCAATTTTAGATCCAGAAATTTATCTTGATGAAGTGAGTGTTCAAAGATTTGTTAGAAGAATGTTCAGAGTGATGCTGTTTATATTTATACAGCATTCAAAAAGGATGTTTATTATCTATTAAATGAAAAGGCAACATTTAAAAGAAAATGACCTTATTTTTGCATAAAATAATCATACTTTAGCTTCTTTCCCACTCACTTCTATGTGTGAGATTTTACTTTAGTCTGTCCTCTCTTCTTCTCTGTAGTCTACACAAGCAATAAGGAATCATTTTTTCCTGTCCCTTTTCTCACTCTCTTTTCTCTATTTAGCTAGATTTTTTAAATTGGGCAAATGAATTGTGTGTATTTGGTATATATATATTGACATAACATATATTCCTTATACACTGTCTTCTATTTCAAACTCTTAATCTTTTAAGGAAACTACTATCAAAAGTTCTATGTTATTTATCCAAATATATGCTTATGTAAGTACATATGTCTTTGTATGTATGTATTATTTACTTGTCATTTTCACTTGAGACTAGGTCCAGGAAAGAATTTCATATCTATACTTTATTTATATCATTAAAATAAGTATAATATGATCATGAAAATACTGTAACTTATTTAGTATTGATGTGAACTTTTATTCATGAACTGTTAGATGTTTCCTAATTTTTTGCCATCACAGAATGCCAGTAAGAGTGTCCTGAATATATTGGGAATTGCCTTGGGCTTGTTCATATGTGTATGTGTATGTAGATATACTGCATTTGAATTGGCAAGAATTGGGTAAAAATGCTAGAGCTATGTCCCTTTGTCTTACATTGAAAGACCCTGCCTTTGAAGAAGATATGATATGCCTTTTGACATTTTCATAATTGTGTGAGAACTCTTATCTAGTATTTGAAAATACTTATTTTATTAGACAAATAAAAACAAACTCATTTTATTGATTTTTTTTTTTAGTAAGGTTGAGTATATTTTATTCAGTGTTCATCTTTTGTATGTCTTTTTCCCATTGGATATTTAAATAATAAGTGTGTTAAGGCATCCTTTTTGGTGATGGAAATATTTTTTGCCACTATTTGTGGGAATTTGTTCTTAAAATTTTTTTACCCTCCTCTCCTCTCCCCTCCCCTCCAAAGGAAAAGAGAACTTGATTTTTAATTGATCTTTTTTAAAAAGATGTTTGGATTATTGCTGATACTACTTATTGTAAAGTTCCCTTTCTTCCCACTAATGTAATAATTTTATGATAAAATATAAAAAATATTTCCATACATATGTGAATCTACTTTCCAGATTATCTTCTGTTGCATTAGTGCATTTCTTTTAGCTCTTTTATTTATTTATTTATTTATTTATTTATTTGTTTGTTTGTTTGTTTATTTGGTACTAGGGATCGAACTCGGGTCCTTGAGCTTACAAGGCAGGCGGCAGAACCACTGAGCTAAATCCCCAGCCCTTACTCTTTTATTAATTTAACTGATTTCTTCAGTATCCCATTTTTCAGATTTTCTTATCTTTTTTCATATGTTTATTCTTTTCATATGAAATTTAAGATTATTGGGTCTAATCTTTTTCTATTGAATTTTTGTTTGGTTTATATTGAATTTATAAATTGATTTAGGAAATACTTAACATTGTGTCTTTCAATAAATTATGCCTTTTAATTATTTAAGTATTATTTGTGTCAGTCAGTACAAACATAAGATTTATTTTATGTAGTTTCTGAACATTACTTAAGTTCTCGTAAACATATTTTTAACATTTTCTTCTTTAGAAGAAGGATTAGGGTATAGCTGACTGGTAGAGTGCTTGCTTGGCATGCAGAAGCCCCTTGGTTTAATCATTAGCGCAACAAAGAAAACCTGAAATACTGGAGGGAAAGATGGAGGATGATTTTATTTATTTAATCTAGGTGCGAGAAGGCTTTCCAACTGTGATACAAAGTCTGGTGGTTGTACAGCCTACTACTAGAGACATCCCAATAAGTTAAGAACAAGACATTTTTCATATTTTTTACTGGAGGTCTTAATGAATGTAGCAAAATAAGAAAAAGGAATAAAGATAATGGCCTGGCGGCAAAGCTATTATTAATTACAGATTATATGATTGCTTCCTGGCGGTAAAAGATGATTAGTTTTAGATGAAAATCTGATGACAGATTAGCTTTGGGAACGGGAACTGATTGGAATAGGTACAGGGCCTAGAGAAAGACTTTTTATTTTATACTTTTTTATATTTACATAATCTGAATGCATTATATAGCCTGCATATTTAATGAAAATGTAACGTCAGATTTCATATTAAAGTAAAAATTGAATAAAGTTACTGTATTCATCTTGTGTCAAACAGAAGTGCTTTACATTTTAAGAAATTTAGCATCTGTTTTGCGTAAGAAAGGAAGAATGCTATTCTCACATTGCAGCTTTACTTATAAATAAATTATCAAATGACCTTAAACCATGTTGCTTTAGATTCAGTAATTCTATCTTTGGCATTTTAGCATAAGGAAATAATTTGAGGCCATAGGCTAAGATATATCTTAAGTGAAAACATGAGCTCTGTGAAACGATTCTTTCAGTAGGTCACATATTCCAGTTCCATATTGAATACTTTAATTTATTAGTTTATTCCTTACTTTTATTGTAAAAATTTCAACATGGTTTGCAAGCTTTGTTTCTAATAATTGCAATCCACTAGAATTTTACAAGTTCTTTGAATATATCTATTAAAAAAGATTTTCAGTGGGTTTTGAACAAAATACAAACTAAGGTATAGATAATTCATTATCTAAACAGTTTAATGTGGTTATAGGACTCTTAAGTTGATTTAATGTATAAACCTTCAAAAGTTTATCATACATGTCTAAAATCCCTTTGCCGGTGATTAGCAAGAGAGAAAATTTGTCTCTTGCTTGTTTGCAGTGGTTCATTATCAAAGTAATTTAATATGATTATAGGACACTTAGGTTAATTTACCATGTAAATTATCAAAAGTTTATCAGACATCTAAAAAATCCTATTGCCGATGGTCAGCTGAGAGAGATTTTTTGCCATATTTGTTTTGTTTATTGATATTTGTTGCAAATTTTTGGTTATTCATGCTATCTGTGTGTATAGAAAAATACACGTTTAAATATACCTTAGTTTTTGATCAGTTGAAAAGTTATTAGATTTGTAGCAGAAATTATGATCTGCTTGTTTATTGGTATTTCATCATCTTTCCATAATTGGTTGAAAAATTTCTGTCCTTTGTAATTGTCTATTTTGCTCTTGAGGGTTTTCTCATTTTTTTCAATGTTTTAGAATATATGTAAATGTCAGATTTAGTTTTTAAATTCTTCTTGTGAGGCTGTATTTAAAAGCTGAAAACCTTGTTTACAATTTAGTATTTTGAAAAGCGTTTGAGTGTACTGTGAATAAAACTTTTGTTTGTGACTTTTGGCCAGAAAGTTTTTATAGGGAGTGGTAAACAGTTGGAATTCCTAGGCTTTGTATTTGTATTTGACCGCATTATAATAAATTCACTATTCTGAAACCTAGCTAATTATTCTAAATAGTATGTTTTAATCTAAAACATTATGTTATATTCCTTAAAATCCCCCATGACACTTCATTACAATTAAAATTAAAATTCTGAAATTTTATTGTGGGCCAAGGAATTGTTTGGCAAATACCTAGCTCGCTTACCTCATCCTGTATAATTGATTTTCTCTGATTTCCTGAGCTCTTGCCTTGGTAGCCTACCTTCCTTTCCTCTGGGGCCATTGCTTCTTTTGTTTCCTCTACTGGGAATTTTCTTCGAGATCTGTTCATCAGTAGCTCCTTCTCATTATTCAAGTTTTGGTTCAAATTGTGTCATTTCAGAAACAGTTTCTATGAATATAATAAACAAAGAGAAAGCACTTCCAGTGCACTTTCTACCCTTGAATGTAGTACAGTATTCTGTTTTTCTGTTTATTTTTCTTTATCATAATTATCAGTATGTAAATGATCTGTTATGAGTAGAAATATACATTGTGTTTACCATTGTCTCTCCCACAGCACAGCATTAGTATTTCTGACATGAATGACTGTCTTACATAGTTAATATATCCATATTCCTTCTTTGATTTTGACTTCTAGCTTTTAAAAATACTTGCTAGTCATATTTACATTCCATTATTTCAAAGACACTGTAAAAATAGAAGTGAAGGGATTTTAAACAAGCAGGTGATATGTCCTGGTAATAATTTTAATGTTTTTTCAACACCTATCACTGAAATACAGCATTTTGAGTTGGCAGTATACAAGTGGCTATGAGAAAAAAGAATTATATTTTTACTTTCTTTCAAAAGCAAGAAAAGACCTAGAGAATGGTTTAGCATTCTAGAATAATCCATAAATTCCACTGCTTGAATAGTTAGACTTCCATTTCTAATCATGGAATAGCTGTTATCAGATTGTCTTTCTACCAAATGCAATCATAGCACCTAGACAAAATAAATAAAGCTAAATAGTTTGAAGGCAGCTCAGGACCTGAGGGGTTGTGGTATCCAGAGAAGATTGTCTCCATTTAAATTTTGGCTTTTCCCCTGAACATTCTAGAGTGTGGTGCAGGGAAGTAGCCAAATTTTGGGGGGTAGAGAAGCCAAATGGTCAGATGTTAGGATTGCTGAAGTGACATAAATTTCCCTCAAGTCACTTATAATTCTATAACTGTATATGTATGAGGTATAACTCACATCAAGCAGATAATTTCAGAAGCCTAAAAAGCTAAGGAAAAAATTTAACAGCCACATCATACTGAGGAGACAAGAGTCTTAGTTCATTGTACCAAAGTGAAGGAACCTTGGTAAACTCTCTGGCTTTCAGTTATGATCACATACGGCCTATTTATTTATTTATTTATTTATTTTTTCCTCATTGAGTTTATTGGTACATTTTAGGTATACAGTACAGTTACATTCATTGTTGGGATCTTGTACCTCTACATGACAGGTCTTGGTTCTCATTTTTTCCCCTTGTCCCTGCCCTCCCTTCACCCCCTCGTTCCCTCCGCATTTACAAACATTTTATTTCCATTTTTTCATTTTCTCATATTTTTTTCTTTTCCCTTATTACCTTTCCCCTACCTTAGCCCCTTTCTTCTTATTTCACATTGTCCATTATATCATTAGGATCTTATGTACTATTATAGTTTTTCACACCAGAGAAACTATTTGGTATTTACACATGTGTGACTTATTTATTTCACTTAGGAGTATATCCTCAATATGTATCCATTTTCCTATGAATGAATCTAATTTCTCATTCTTTATGACTAATATTCCATTTTATAGAAAAACCAGAGCCCATTTGCCCATCAGTTGGAAACTGGATAAAGATGTGGTTTTTCTGCAAAGGGCCTATTTAAAAGTAGGGGTATATCTAAAATAGAATAACCTTATCAAAGCATGAAACCAAGGTAATCTGCTTGTACTTGATCAGTGTATTAAGAGAGATGTAACTTTCTTAAAAGATAACATCATTTAGTGACTCCCAGTTTTTCATTTTATATGGTTATGCTTCAAATAAAAAATTACAGGGGGCCAGGGACTTAGCTCTGTGGTTCCGCCGCCTGGCTTGCAAAATGCACGGTCCCAAGTTCGATCCCAGGTACCAAAAAAACCAAACCAAAACGAAACAGACAAACCGAAAAATTACAGGGAAGGCTAAAAAAAAATAGGAACATACCACCGATATCATATCTACACAAATGAAATGTGCACAAATTATTCTTTGCAGAAGTCTCATAATAAGGAAACATTGGAAAAACTCCAGAGACCATCAAATAGGGGATTGATTAAATAAGTCATTTCTCTTTGTATAATGTGGTAGATTTTACACAAGCTTTACCAGTCTTCAGGGCAGGACAGTTCATTATTATTATATGATAATGTTCTGAACATGATAGGACATTTTACAGCTTTGAACCTGGCACAGTAACTGCATGTTGCATCTTCAGATTTTGAGACAAGGTCCTGTATTGTGCCCTTACACATTTTCAGGTGGCCCTGGGATAAGGTGTATTCCAACTGAGAAACATTAGTGTCATGGAATTCTGTGCGGCTGTAAAAGAAACAAAGTCCCTAATGTGCATCACAAGGGTAAAATGCCAGGCACAGTATAGTTAGTACAGTTTGTTATGTTTTAAGAAAGGAGAATAATGATATACATTTGGATTGCTTATGTATGCTTAAAAATCATGAAGCAATGTGTAAGAAGCCAAAGAAAGTGATTGTGGAGCCACTTAGTGTGAAGTTAGATGAACACACTGTACTTTTAGGTATATAAAATACTGACCTTTAGGTCTGGGGATTTAGATCAGTGGTTCCGCCGCCTACCTTGCAAGCACAAGGACCCGAGTTCAATCCCCAGTACCCCCCCCAAATACTGACTTTTAAAACATGAAGGTTTTACCTGTCATATTTTTTAATAGTCAAATTTTTAGATATAAATAAACTTATGTTGGATATAATACTTTATAAGAGATTATTTAGAATTTACAAGGTCATTAAACATTTAAAAATTCTTTTCCAAATCTTGTCTCCTCTTTTCCTTTATTCAGTGGTGTAGGGCGAAACTGGGGCTGGGCATCTGCAGGTAGCAGCATTCTGGCTGAATTTGGTACACTACACATGGAGTTTGTCCACCTCAGCTACTTGACAGGGGACCTGATTTACTACAAAAAGGTTAGTTCTTTTTTTTTCTTTTTCTTTGTTTTTTATAGAAACAGTAAAGTTTTCCCAAAGACTTGAATGATAGTTAAATACTTATCTGGCTCTGGCCTTTTTTTCTTTTTAATTATCCTAAGAAATAGCTACCCCCTGTAAAATGTGTTTAAAATATCTATTATTATTATTATTTGAGAGATTATAGTCACTATTAAGTTTCTTAAAAATTTCATTTTCATTTCTGTTCAGCATTGAGCTGAATCTCCTAACCAGCTTGGTAAGACAAGAAAAACAAAATGTGAATAAAAGGTTTAAGAATTGAAAAGGAAGAAAGGAAATACTAACTATTCACAGATGATACAATTTTCTACCTAATACATTTGAGGCAGTGTACTTCAGCCTTGCACACGCTAAGCTTGTGCCCCATTACGGAGCTGTATCCCAGTCCCGATAGTCCACATTTAAACGAAAAAAAAAATTTTTTACATTAAAGATCAATATATACATTAAAAATCAGCAATTCTCTCCAACAACTGTGAAAGGTAAGAAGGATCATTTTATAAAAATTTACCTTATGTGGTAGCAACACAAGGTTTTAAGATCCCACAAATCAACAAAAATAAAGTTCAAAACTTTATTAAATAACTTGAAGAAAACCTCCATAAATAAGAGTAAAATCACAGGCTGATGGTGAATATGTTTCTGGACTAGAAGTAATGTACTGAGAAATAAGCATATGACAGTTGAATGAGAAATCTCACAGACACGCTATGTATGTACCTGCAAACGGAGTGAAGAAAGGAATGAATGACAGATTCTAAGCCCAGCCAATCTCATCTGGCTAGAGAGAAGCAAAAGCTAAAAAAACATATATACATCTCGACTGTACTTGTCTTTTAAAGTACATGACAACCTTCTTGTGAATAAATAGCTAGGTCAAGAAAAATAGTAAAGAGCAGTTTATCAAATAAAAAGAACAAGTATTTAATTTATAAAAAGATTTACCTGAAATAAAAGGAAGGAAAGTAAAATATAGTAGCCAAAAAAAAAAAAAAATGCTTATCATAAAATAGCAATCAGAAAATCCTGAGCAAACATCACAGTACGAAAGAACATAAGCCCTCCTTCCTGACAAAAAGACCAGTGTTCAACACAGTGTGATGTGCTATCAGTGACAAAGCATAAGATAAAATTATAAGCAAGATAAAGCCCCAAATGGCAGTACAAAGAAAGTCATTTTGCAGATAAAGGATTTAGAAGACCAAATTGAGAAAAGCTAGTAAATATATAGAAATACATTAAAAAAGAAATGGTAGATAAGGAAGAGAAACAGGAAATTCAGTGTTATATATAATTTTAGATTCAAATGATAATTTTCTTATTTTTCATAACATTCAGAACTTTCTGAAACTGGTTCATGCAGTTATTCATTTTTAACTTGTTGTACATAGTATAAATCTCAGGATGGAATGCAGGAAATATAGATAGCATTTCTGAGCTCATTTATAAAACCAAATCCGACCAAATGAAAGATGATAGGAAACATTGTGGTAAAAGGATTTGTATTGTGCTGAAGTCCAGAAAAGTGAAAGATGTATAAGGTCCTGACAAAGAAAGAGCTTTTCCAAGTCCCTTATACCAGCCAGGTTACCTACCAAATATAAATATGACAGTTTCAGACAAATGAAAAAGAGTACAAAGAATAGAACACTTTTATTGATGTATTAACCTAAACACCCACATCCCAGAGCACTTGCTAAATTCAACCAGTATAGAGATGAATCCAAAATATTCCTGGGAGGATCTTTCACCTCTTACTATATTTTGTAAATTTTTTCCCTACTTAACCTCAGAGAGACCTTTCAGAAATTTAGGAATATGTATTATGGAGACAGTATTTAAAATTAAACAACTTGATTTTACTTCATTTAGTTTTTTCATTCATTAAATTTAAATTAATATTTTCTTGTAAAATTGCTGTTTTTTTCTATAAAATTACTTCTCTTCTCATTAAATATTTCTGGAATGACATTTATCACTGACTGCTATTTTCAAATAGTAGAATGTTGGGATTTAAAATTATTTCACTGTGGTGAATTGTTTCTCACTGGCAGAGCCCTTGCTTAGCAAGGGCAAAGCTCTGGTTCTAATCGCCAGCAATATAAAAACAAACAAAAATAAACAGGTCCTTTTCTTTGTATTGCTTTTATTCTTGTTTTATTTTTAAATAATGATCCTTTGTCATCTTATTTAAAATAATAAGTCATTGAAAGAATAGAACCCTTTCTGAACCACCACACACAGAAAGGGCAGGGGGTGAGTATAGGTTCTCAGGAAAAATATAGAACCTAGACTAATATCAAGTGTTGGTGACATTTCTTTTTGTTAATTGATTCTTAATTTTACTTTGTTGAGGTCATGCATATTCGGAAACTACTTCAGAAAATGGATCGTCCAAATGGTCTTTATCCAAATTATTTGAACCCAAGAACTGGGCGCTGGGGTCAATGTGAGTATTGCTAGTACCACTGATCTTTTGTTGAAAGGTTATTTACCCCAAAACTGCTTGTTGTAATGAAAGATACACCATGAAATTATAAACCTTTAGTTCATGTCAAACTCTGTGATGTACAAGCACTATTTATTACCTTTGGCAAGTTTCTCATCTCTTGTTATTTCAGTATTTTACTTGTAAAATGAAAACAATAATCTGTTTCACAGAAATATTTACTTTCATGTATTTTTATTTACTTTGTTAAAATACAGTGTGGCCGTTTAAAGGTTCTTACTTATTAATTAATCATATCTTTATGAAATAAGAGCACTGCATAAGATACATATTTATAGGAAGAGTCAGAAATACAAACGAACATGTTAAATGCCTAGGTAGGTAGGGAGCCCCTGCTCTTTGCTAGCCAGTGGCTAGCCGTTCCACTAAGAAGAAGATATTAGGGCATCCGTTATTTGTCAGTCTCTTTACCAAGTCCTTGGATAAAATGGGAGTTGGGGAAAGAATGTGCATAAGGCTTTACCTGAATTTCGAGAGCTCCCAGAATGGAAGGACAGGAAGAAATACTTAGAAGTATTTGGGATATAATGTGATAAACATAGTAGAGGAATATACCAATCATAATGTAAAACTGCAGTAGGAGTGATTCCTGTGGCTGAGATGAAAGCATTTTGTTTGGGGGAAGACAATTTTTATTATGAAAGCCTTAGATTTATCTATAAAAGAATCGGCTTTTTAAAAATAATAACTGTTCAATGGAAATATGGAACTTAGAGAATTTTAGTAATTGTGGCTTTACCAGTATTGTTCTTTTAAAATGTAAGAGAACTAGAAGAGAAGTTGCAACTTTGCCCCCAGTAAAGCCTTTTTGAATTATTTTTCAGACAAAAAAATCATAATGTAGCAGTAAAAAAAGAAACAAGCATAAAATCTTGTATATTGAAAATATTGCTAAATTTTCCACTGAGGAAAAACATGCCAGCTCGAATACCAAGAGCGATGACACACATGCCGTGGACTTGTTGTCTAGGCCCGTTTCCATCGTGTGGAAGGCCAGCAGAGTGGCCATACACAGTGTCCTTCACAGAGTAGATCTCAGTCTTTTGGTATTCCGTAAATACTTTTCCTTTCTCCTGAAATTCTTTATATGTAGCTCACTTTTTTCTTTATTTGAAAGGAAATTACAAGTAAAGGTTTAATGTCCAGACCGAATGGAACTATTTTCTACAAAAAATTCTGAGAGCTGCATTTCTAAAATATAAAAATTCAGTTTTCTCCTTCTGTATATGAGTAGATATCCATTTGGGGTGGATTCTGTTGTAAGTTTTTACCCCTTAGCTTTACAGTAAGGTTTAGAAATATTTTAACTTTGGAAAACATTACATTTAGTTCCTGCCTTATACCATATCCATTATATATTTTATATAGGCTACATATTTAAGTGTATAAGATGAAATCATAAAAATAGTTAAATATATACTGTAGTCAGGAAGCTTCAGTATTTTACTTGTAAAATGGAAACATTAATAACCTGTCTCACAAGAATATTTTCTTTCATGTATGTTTATTTACTTTGGCAAAACATAGGGTGGCAGTTTAAAGGGTTGTGCTTATTAATTATGTCTTCATGTAAATAAGAGCTTAATATAGATCCCAGTAATGAATATAACTGTACTGTACCTAGAATTAAGATGAAATCATAAAAATAGTTAAATATATACTGTAGTCAGGAAGCTTCAGTATTTTACTTGTAAAATGGAAACATTAATAACCTGTCTCACAAGAATATTTTCTTTCATGTATGTTTATTTACTTTGGCAAAACATAGGGTGGCAGTTTAAAGGGTTGTGCTTATTAATTATGTCTTCATGTAAATAAGAGCTTAATATAGATCCCAGTAATGAATATAACTGTACTGTATACCTAGAATGTACCAATAAACTCAATAAAAAGAAAAAAAAAAGAAGATCATCACCACATGTGGGCCTTTGGACCTCAAGAACTGTGAGCTTAAAAAAAAAAATTTCTTTATGAAATTAGAAAAAGAGCTTAATATAAATAAAGGAAAGCCTTTTTGAAGCATGTTACATCAAGCAGAAACAGAAAAGATGTCAGTTTTTACTTTATATAAATGTTAACTTTGTATTTTATAACAGTTAAAAGACAAGTTACAAAGTAATTAGATACTAAGTTACAGACTAATTACATACTTAGAAAAATATTCATATTCTTTCCGTACCAAGACATCTTAGATAGGAATGGTAGCACACTCCTGTAACCCCAGCACTAGGGAGGCTGAGGCAGGGGGATTGCCATGGGTTGAGGCCAGACTGAACAACATAGCACGACCTTGTCTCAGAAGAAAAAAGAAAACTCTTACAAGATTATAATAGATTGATTACTCCAGAAATTTTTAAAAAGTGAATTAAGAAAAGTTAATTAAAAACAAAACGTAAGTGGGCCATCAACAGATACTCATATTTGGCTATAATGATGATGTTAATGAAGATAAACGGTATGTGGAGACAATGTAATGTGATATCACCTCCTGCAAAGACTACTCCTAGCATGGACTGGTCCCTCTACCTATTTCATTGTGCCCAGAATTAGATTCATACAGGTTTGAAACAGGGATATGATTGTTTAACTTTTAAATTGGCAAAGAAGGGCCAGGGGTTTAGCTCAGTGGTTCTGCCACTTACCTTGCAAGCACAAGGTCCAGAGTTTGATCCCCAGGTACCAAAAAAAAAAATCTCAAAGAAAATTAACATCTCCTTGTGCCTAGTGTTTGTATTGAACTAAGAACTGGGCTGGGGACTTAGCTCAGTGGTTCCACCACCTGCCTCGCAAGCGCAAGGTCCTGAGTTTGATCTCTGGTACCAAAAAACAAAACAAAACAAAAAACAATAAAATACCCCCACTATGAACTAAGAACTAATTTCCTGCAGTTTATTGCAATGTAATTTTCAGAAGTGTGTGTGTTTGTGTGTGTGTGTGTGTGTGTGTGTGTAGAAAAGCTTATTTGCAGTATCCCAGAATTTGTTTATAATTTGGGTAAGTTGAAAACATTCTAAGCAGCTCTTGGCCCCCATTACTTTCTATCATGAGTAATATTTTTTGTATCAGTTGTCCAGTAGAATAGTCGCTGGCTACACATGGTTGTTGAGTACTTGAAATGTTACTAGTATGGCTTTGGAACCACATTTTTAATGTTACTTACTTTTAATTAATTTAAACAAATAGCATTTTGTAGATAATGCATTGCCATTAGATAATGCAATTTTTGAACATTAAATCTTTAAACATTTTGGATTAAAGAAAGATTATGGTCCCTCCCAATGTGATGTACTGTACAGCTACTCAAAGTTATGTCGTAGTGGGCTGGGGATTTAGCTCAGTGGTTTCACTGCCTGCCTCCCAAGCGAAAGGGCCCGAGTTCAATCCCTGGTACTAAAACAAACAAACAAAAAGTTATGTTGTAGAATACTTGACATCAATAAATACAAAAACTTACATTTTAGAAAGAGGAAGGACAAAAAGAGAACTTTTAAGAGTAGAAACCAAAATGTTATCTATGACTGTTAATACTTGTTTTTATTTTCTCTTTTTTGTTTACTTCATTCAAATTTGGTATTTGAACATTTGTTCCTTTTTGAAGTAAGATTAAAAACATTTCAAAATAAAAACCAGGATACTTTCTAAGATACTGAAAAAAATAAATCACAATTGAGAATTGCTAGCTTTAAAATGATATCATAAACTGAGTGTGGTGGTGCACGCCTATAATCCCAGCACTCAGGAGGCTGAGTCAGGAAGATCACTACAAGTTGATCCTGCCTGGGCTGCATAGTTAGTTCAAGGCTAGCCTGAACTACATAGTAAGACCTCGTCTCAAAACAAACAAACAAAAAAAACCCCACAACAATAAAAATGACAGATATCATTGAAAGCATCCTAATTTTTAAAAAGGTAACTCTCTTTACAAATAACAATTCAAAAAACTGAATAACCACATGGAAATGAGTAAGGCAAGTCCTTATTTTATACCTTTTATAAAAATGATCTCAGTTTATTTTTTGTTTATTTATTTATTATTTGTTTTATTTATTTATAAAAATAAATAAAAATTATCTCAAAATAGATAAAATATCCTAAATTTAAGAGTTCAAAGTGTAAAGTTCTTAGAACACATAAGATCAAATCTTTAAGACTGTATTTCGTCAGTAGAGTCTTCAGTATGATACCAAAGACACAGGAAATAATAGAAAAAATAGATTTGTTGAAAATGAAAAGCTTTTGTACATCAAAGGGTACTGTCATGGGAGTAGTAGCTCACAGAATGAGAGAGTATTTGTAAGTCACATACTGATGAGGGTACTCGGTATTTGAATAATATAAAGAACTTGCTGGATGTAGTAGTATACACCTATATTCCCAGCATTTTGGAGGCTGAGGCAGGAGGATTGCCACAAAGCTGAGGCTAGCCTGGGCTGCAGAATCAGTTCATGGCCAGTCTGAACTACAAAGTGAGAACCCTGTCTCAGAAAAACAAAAAAAATCCTACAACTCAATAACAGGAAGACAACACAACTGAAAAATGGACAAAGGACTTGAATAATTTTTTCTCCAAAGAAGATATATAAAATAAATACATTAAAATGCATAAATATCAGTAGTCACATACCATTTGACAGTTACTAATTTTGAGAATGTTAATAGAAAGAGCTGTTCATTGGTTTTGGCAGAGTTCTTTAAAATCCTAGGGAGCTGCTCCCCCCACCCCCCGATACCGCTTTAGCAGCTGCAGTCCCTACTAAACTGTTCAATTTGTTCTTTTTAATGTTTTTGTATATTTTATATGAGCGTCTGAAAAGTATATCAAATTCCATTTTTATTTTGGAGCATTATACATCTGTCATTTCTAAAAATAAACTGCAAAACAAACATTTCATTGAACTAAAATTTAACAATTCAGCTTTGGCTGTTATAATTAGAGTAAT